TACCTATTATTTATTTTTCTTCATAAATTTTCATTAAAAGATTAATCATTGCTCATATTATTAGCCATAGAACAAGTAAATATATTTTTCTAGCCATTGTGCTGCATAACAGAGAATTTCACGGCACTATTTTTGAAAACGTTTAGGTCTATAAGCAGTCGAGGAAAATGGCGATTTTAATACTGGAAATAATTAAAATTCTAAGTGAACTGTACTATTACAGATAAGGATCACAGTATTGTAACATGTGTACTCAGCTACATCTGATGTTACCATCGGTTATCTCAGAGAAATAAAATAAAATAAAATGATATGTAAATAAATTTAACTCTTCAGTCGAGGGCTAAGCGAGTCGAAGCGACGAGCGTTACTTGTTATTTAAATGGAGAGAATAAAAAATTTAAACAAATGTTAAAATCTGTTGTTGGTGGTAATGGTAAAAAAAATTTACAATGGTGTAAATCAAAAGAAAACTTTCACTATGTTCCTGAACATACTCGTTTACTAGATCGAGTATATTATTTAAAATTAGAAGAAGATCTATGGAAAAATTATTTAATTTATAGTGAAACATACAATTGTTGGACATCACCCTTATCAAAAACATCAATGGAAAAATATATAGAAAAAAATAAACAAAACAAAACAAAAGCTGAAGAAGAAGTACAAAAACATGTTTTGCTATTGAAAAATTATCAACAACCCAATTCAAACATTGATGAACAACGGTTATGGGTAGTTCTTTTAGCTTTAGTACGTAAAGGTCAAAAAAAATTATCTCAACATTATGAACATCGAAAAAAACGTTTGAAAAATAGTGCTCAAGATTATTCTTTAGTTAGGGCATGTTATGATTGTCAACCGACGCAAGATGAAATTATGTCCATGCAAATTATTTGGCAAGCCACTATTAATGAATGTAAATCACAACAAAATGTCGATATTTTAAAACAACATCTTCATATGAAACGAATACCTAAATCATTAGATTATCTTGATCAATCATTTTCAAATGTCGAACATACATTAGCTAGACCTATTTATAATGATAATATTCGAACAACACTTACAACACGTCATAAAAAAATTATTGCACAAAATAAACTTGACTTAATGACACTTTATATTAGTATGTCGGAAGCAGCTACATGTGGTTCTCATCAATATAGTGAAGATGAGAAAAACAAATTAATCCATCGTATGAACCAAGATTCACTTCGACAATTTTTCGTCGAACCATTTATCCAAGCTATTGAACAACGGCAAAAACGTATTCGACAATATATGCAATATGCAACAAAACGACGTCTTCATTTTTTCTACCATTGCTCCGATGATCGTCGACAAAAATGGTATCGTCGGATCTATCATCTTAATTTATATTGGGATATTCTTCCATCCTCATCTATCATTGAAGTTCATACAAAATTAACACCGGAACAATTGGTATTACTTTCCCGTGGACCAAAATATGTGCCACCATGCCAAAGTCGATTTTATAAGAAGAAAAAGAAAGAAAAATTAATAGACGAAGAACATAATAATATTATGAGTACAATTACAGAATTTTTCCGTCAACATGGCTATTATATATCAAAAACACGTATCGATGAATTTTCAAATGATCTTAAAAATCTTCTTCTACGTCTTTATACAAAAAAATTATCACGAAAATTATCTGTACGTGCAAAACTTGAACATAAATTAATTATGAGTATTCGTCGTTATTTACGCAAATATCAACAGGTGATTTTACGACGAACAGATAAAAGTAAAGTATTTCATTTAAGTGATGCAAATGATTATCAAAGAAAAGTACTTGAATATATGCAAGAAACAGAAGCATATGAAGAAATTACCTCTGGTATATCGCCATTAACAGCGAATTTAAATCAAGTTACTTCACTGTTAAATCTACTTTACCATGTTGAAAAACCTTTAATAACTAAAAAGCAATATGAAGCAATGTATCCAAAAGAAAATGAAACTGAATTAGCTCATCTCTATTTTATACCAAAACCAGATAAAGTATATATATGTTTTTTTACACATATGTAAACTTCTACTACAATACGTTTCTTCTAGGTTGGTACACCATTACGACCGATCGTATCTGAAATTCATGTACCAGCTATATTAATCTCCAAATATCTTGATGATTCAT